AACATATCCCTCATTGTTTCAAAAGATATCCTCTCCTTGCATGGAAAGAAGAAATTCGAAACCAGGTAGTAAAGAAGTAGAAGAGGTACAATGAGCAGTAATCCAATGATAGCAAATCCTACTAATGTTGGAATCAAAGAATGTAGAATGCACACGTTCCTGACCAAACGCGTCACATTGAGGGAAGGGAATTCCACAGTTTTATCACCATTGGTCTCACTGAATTCATTGCCATATGTTTTCGACTTGCATTCCCCAACGGCTTTGGAGGACACACTCGTCAAATCTGGAAATGCAAGCAATAGTACTCTATTTTCTGCAAGCACAAACGACCCCCCAATATCCATCAAACTTGGGAAGAAAACTTTTCGGAGAAAGGCATCCCTCACAACAAAGTCTCCTGTGACACTTACAAGGCTTTCGAGCAGAGTTGAAGAAGCAGAATACCCCCCGTGATAGAGCAATAAGTTTGCCCGTCGCAATTAGAATATGGGCCAAGCCGTCAGAGTTCGTGAGTGGCAATTGATCCTCGATCATCACGTCCCCTTTTGATAGGCTACCAAAAGTGCCAAGCCCAAGCGCACCAGAAGACATGCCACTTGAGCCAATCCACAAACTCACCTTCACTTGGGCGAGGCTGCCCAGGCCAGTCACACTAGAAAGTTGATTGGACGCCGGCACCTTGCTGACCGATTGTGGGATGGCAATCCTGGTGTTGGACAGTGATGTAATGTTCCTTGGAAGATTGATGCAAGGCTTTGATATGAAATCTTGTTCTAAGGTGTTCGGTTGTCTATGTTCCAAATGGCCGCTGTCTTGCCAGCAGTCACACTACTGTGCCACTCAAGGCTGAAGAGGGGAATTTCGCAAGATGGGGAAAAATCCAAAAGGAGGAATAGCTGCCGAAGGCGCTTCCAGTTTGCGAAGCTTTGGTGACTCAGATTTGTCGTTCTAAGGGCAGTTTGAGGTTCGTTACACAGGCGGAAATTTAGCCGCTTGGATCCATCTGACTCAATTCAAATTGACTTCCACGGAGAACTGAGCAGCTCCAAAAGTGAAAATTCGGATCAAGGTTTCGTGGCTTCAGCCTCAGGACGAGCAGAGAATAAAAGGGAAGGCTTGGTACCAGAAGTCACAAAGTGAAATTCTAATTGTGTTCGGGTCGCCAATATATGATATGAAATTTATGGCAAGCTGGCGACCCGTGGGCCTGAAAAGGTGGCTAGGAATTGGCGAAAATCTACAAAAGTGAAAAAGGGGCTTAGCCTCCTCCAAAGGGACGAACTCCGACATAGAAGAAGAACACGGGGACGGCGATGCGGCAAGGCGTATGAGTATCTCGATGTGGGCATAATTCTGCCAAGTTATGGGAGACGATACCGACGCCAAGGAAGGTCTTCATCCCAGGAAGTGACGCGCCGCACTGGGCTTGGTGCGCCACCCCTTTGGACGTGCGTGCTTGGCTCGCGAAGCTGCGTGCTCACTCGGAAACTGCTTTTGACAACGCAGCATTGCTGGAAGCACGGATCTGCGCTGATCGGTCGCTGCTTGGCGTGTCGATTGGCTCGCACCAGCAATCGGGATCGAGGGGCTGCGAGCACGGATGGCAGTCGGTGGGATAGCTGCGACTTGTGGCGAATCTTTGCCTATGGATCCACTGGCCGGGTGGAGGCCTCGAAGACTGTGAGGGATTGCAGCTTGTGGAACGAGCGAACAGTGAGAGGCGGCAGCGCTGGTGGTGGTGCAACGCAGCAGCGGTCTGAGGGGACAGGTGATGGGCTTTGGAGGGCCAAATGTTCAACCGCTACTGGATTACTCACAGTGGCAGACAGGGCAGCAATCGTGGCCATCCAGTGAGACGCTGCGGGGCTGAGATTGTGCGTCTCAAACGCTTTCCTAGACGGGAAGACTTTACCAATGTCGGCCAAGTTTGCCATCAAAAGTGATCAGCTGGAACTGGCCCAAGAGAGGTGGTGATGCGTGCTACAACAATCTACGGCATCGGCAAGGCAATCTACGCAATTTCTTGATCGATTCTTGATATTCTTGATAACCAAAGTCATGACCAGGTCCTTGATGTTTCTGTGCGCAACAGGTCGCGTCCCTATTGGGCCGTCAGACCTGATAGAACCACGTAAATACATCTGACTGCGACCTCCACGCAGCACGGCAGCCATTCCCCAAATACCCTAGCCACGTCAGAAAGGGCAGCACAACCCAATCTTATACAATTTCTATCAGGTCACGTCCAAACATGGCTGTTCACATCATTCTCACTTAAATTGATGCTATCATGCTACTATGCTTCTAGCAAGATGACGATCAATCTGTGTGATTAATGTCATTGTGCGACTGGACCTTTGCGAAATCTGTTGCGAGCCTATGCTGCATACGTTGGCGAATCGGATATTTGAAGTCCTGCTATAATTGATTGAGAAATTCTCAAGATGCTTGCTGGAATAAGTTTAATTTCTCAGTGATTACCGTGCACCAAAACGCCAATGCTGACGTGGATTTTCATGTTGATCAGTGCACAATTGATTCGGAGCAGCCTAGGGCGAGGTGTGGTGTCATTGCTTTGCAATTTTCCTGCCTTAGACAGATGTATTTACGTGGTTCTATAAGGTCTGACAGCCCAATAGGGACGCGACCTGTTGCGCACAGAAACATCAAGGACCTGGTCATGACTTTGGTTATGAAAATTATGGACTTTAACGCTGCTGATGCGCTGGGTGAGTTCATTAGTCTTTTAATTCGATCAAGAAATATCATTTACCTGGTTTGTGGCGTGGCTATGACGTCGCAGCGTTATTTGTGAGCAGTACATTGTATTGCGGGAAAAGGGCAGGCGGAGCCGTTAACGCCAACGTTGGCGCGAGCGAATATTCCTGCGAATCTTTCAGTCGCGGCACAGATTCGATTGTGTTGCTGGGCGTGTGCTGGAAACGTGGCGAAGGAGTGAAGCGATGGCCACCTGAGCGCTGCAAGAGGGTTATGTGAGGATTAGAAGAGTATGCTGTGAGGTTTGCGGAAGCACGTTCAGATGTGGTACGAATAGTAGAGTATGAGGAGCAAGGAGAGTGAGAATGATGTGAACAGCCATGTTTGGACGTGACCTGATAGAAATTGTATAAGATTGGGTTGTACTGCCCTTTCTGACGTGGCTAGGGTATTTGGGGAATGGTTGCCGTGCTGCATGGGGGTCGCAGGCCGTATGCTGCTGTGCCCAAGTGTCTGAGGGGCTGAACGGACGGACCATAGTCCGTAAAGTTGTAAGAACCCTGTTGACAGTATCGACGTGTGCGACCCGTGCACGCAAGCCGCGGGGCGCAGCCCGACCAGAGTGGCTTTGCGGCTAAGAGTTTGAGGTCTCCTGCGCCCAGATATCGACAGATCGCGCCCACTGCATTGTCGCCCTTCGAGCGCATGGGGTTCCAAGAGATTCTGTGAGAACCAAAGCCGCCTTCCGTGTGTTTCGCATCCAAGACCTGGATTTCTGCGCGAGCCCGGACGTGCAAGGCCCGGAGGCCCGTTGGAGTCCCCGATTGTCTGTGGCGAAATCGCTGGCGGCGTGGTCACAGGGGAGCTGTACGTCACCAGATTCGTCTCCTTCGACGCAAATTCAAGCGAGCCGGAAGGGGGGACAGGCGAAGGCCTGGCGCTTTGTGAATTTTCGGCCGGGTGGCTGCCATGTCAGACGGCCACCTTTTGCAATTGAGAATCCCCTTGGAGGCACGCCTCAAGTTGGGACACTATTCGTTGGTGTTTGTGGGGTCTTTTGTACGAATTCCTCGTTGCGTTGTCTCTCCCTCTCCTTAGCCCCTTCCCTTGTGAGGCTACGAGGCCCGGGGTTCGAGTGGATTTCGGAGTAAAAAAACGCTTGCGTGGTTGACCGACTTTGGCAGTTGATGCCGGAATATGCACCCAATGACCCAGCGACCTGTCCCCGGCTTCGCCAAGGCCGAAGTCCAGAGCAGAGGGGGGTTCTAAAATAGACTTCAAAGAAACAAAAATGTCGCCAATGGGTCGCAAGGGCACACATTCCTCAAAGTTGAAATGTTGCAGTTACAATGCCCACGGAAAGAAGCACATCTGGACACACAGCCCATGCATGATCGGTGCAGGCTATACACTAAATTCCAATTCATTTCCCCATCTCACCAATCTGCCCCCAGCTCAGCGACCACCCGGCCACCCGCACCCGTCCTGCTCTCCCCAGCCGCCCCTCCACACAGAGCTGACTCAGCCAATTGAACTAACAGTACAAGAATACTAACACATACAAGTTGACAACCGTTATCCATTATCCATTATCCATCATTGAGAATGAGAACGAGAAGTTCGTTTGAGAGTTCAACAAATGAGCAGCACAGATGAAGCATGCAAGAGCAGGTGCGAAATGCGGCGCCCGGAGCGCTGCGGCAGAAAGGCTTATTTTCGCGGTCAAGCCACTGTTTATCCTTGCGTGCCACGAAATGACAATTCTGGTAGCTTGCCAAGTGGGGAAGGCGTCGGCAGCCCGACTGTCCAACAACGGGCGCAGCCCAGCCTCGCCCCAACCCCCCACTCCCACCCCCCATTCCTCATTCCCCTCTCCCAAACCCCCTGGGAATGGACTGTACCGACAAATGAGCTGCCAGTCAGCACTCCCACAAAACAAGCAGCAACACATCCGCCTATGGTTGTTCAAACGCACAGCCAATCTGACTGCAGGGCTACACACAGGGCGCCCACCACCCCAAAACAACCTTGCCAGCCAACCACCAGTTGGCCAGCACCCTGGCAGCGCAGGCAGCGGCTCCATCTGCCCACTTTGTTCAAAGCAGAACTTTGTTCAAACTGAATCTGGGTGATCATCCGTGTCAAACTGCCCCACACCCACCATCTCACCCCTGCGTGTCGGCAGCGAATAAAATACATGTCAAATTCCCAGCCGTTCCCCCCCCCCACACACACACGCCCCCGGGGGGAACAACGAAAGAACCAATAAAATGTCCCCGTCACATTCTGTTCTGCTGTCGCTTCGATTCGTTGAAGTCCGAGATGATCGCGTGAAGGAGCACGTTGGGGACCACACGCGTGGTGCTCAGCTGCTCGTTTGTCATGGGCGACGAGTTCCTGTTCCTGAACCACTCCACAATCGCCGACCTCTCGTATGTGTGGCCGTCCTCCGCCACCACAGGGTCCACCATGAGCTCGTGGGTGATGGGGCACAGCAGCTGGCGAGGCACGCCCTCGTTGTCCCCCGCCTCTGCCATGAAGTGCATCTTGGCAAAGGCGCCGGTGTCGGACCCCAGGCGAACGCCCAGCACGGAAGCCACCACCTCTGCCCTTGCGGACTGGACGTCCTCCACGGAGGAGTGCATCTGTTGCAAGGGTGCATGAAACTCAGCAACATGCTGTGGGGAGATGCGAAAGCGTGCACAATCCACAGTCACTTGACAAAAACAAACGTCAAGGGAATTTATCTGCCAAAGGGCCAAAAGGCCACCACAGTCCTTTGCATACTCACACAGTGGTACGTGGTGACATCGTGATGTCTGAGCAGTACAATGGCAGCATCCAGTGTGATGTGAAGCAGTCCCTGTGGAATTATATGTGTGGGAAGGAAATGACACATTCTGCACCACATCGAGTCTGCAGGGAGCCAATCATAATGAGGGGACAAAAAAAATTCAAAGAAATCCAGCTCATTGCGAGCTAATTCCATACACCCATGCAGATATTAAACTTACGCCAAACTGTTTCTGATGCAAGTGTTCTCATGTAAGTGGATGAGTGAAGGGGCCAAGCCCGCACTGGACCGGGCTGCTTTGCGACGTTCACCTTCATATCCGTTCCGCAGGCCAGCAGCATCAACGCTCTCTTCGTTTCCTTCTGGAAGGTGCACTCCCCCTTTGACAGCATCTGCAGGAGCGCTGGCACTGCGCCCTCGCGGACGATGATCAACTGATTCGCCTCATTGTCCGCAGCAAGGTTGGCCAGAGCACGCACTGCCCGCTGCTTGCAGCTCTCCCTTTCATCTCTGCAGTTCAGCAGCTCGATGAGCTTCCCAGCCGCACCCCCGGTGACGAGGGCCTGTTGGTTGTCACGCGTGCATGCCAGGTTGCCCACAGCCCTCACCTGGCATCAACGGACACTGGCTTGTCAGAATACGACCAACTGTTGAGCGCTGTGGCATATGGCTTGGCATTCACGGCCCTACACAATTGCGCCCGTCCACTGGCCCATCCAAGGGCTTGTTGGGCGCCTTGCGCCAACCAATCACAGCACAGCGTGGGGCCCCAAAACAACCTTTGGATCCAACTGGGCAAAAGGCAAAATACTAAACAAACAAAATAGGTTAGATAATAGAATAATGCTAAGTAAAACATGTCAATAACAAAAACAAATACCCACTCAGTGTACCAACCTTCCCTGTAAAGGTGTTATAAGGCACGTTCCAGTTCCAGACTCCAATAGGAAAACGCCAACACAAGCTCCCATGAACCTGATCGGTTTCTCCACTTGGGAGAGGTCAGCCATCCTAAGCAGCATGCCCGACATCTAGGCATCAAGCTACACGCAGATTCGACAACGATGCCGGCGTTATGTGTGCCCCCCAGAGACGGAGACAATGCAAAGTGCAGATCTTGCAAAATTGCAAGCATCCTGACTGTGTTGGCAACTGAAAGTTGAGGTGTTGCAGAGCAGGATCCAGATTGGGAATTTCAACCAATTTTCTTCTGGTCTGGCCACCTGCTGCTTGTTGTGGACAGAGCCCGGGTGCATTGCGTCAAAATGGTTTCCAGAATCAGAATCAGAGAAAGCATTCTCCTCCCTTGTCTAAGCACATGTTTTCTTGCTGCTAATGTTGCTGTGCATTGAACAATATTCCGGTTGTGCACAGAGACTACTGAGTCATATGCAACACTGCTGCCGATATCTGCCCAAAGGTGCACCCATAGTATGGCGTGCTTCCTCTGTTTGAGGACAAATCCTGTCCGCTAAGCGTGGCATCTCCATATGCATCATGTGTGGGCAACACTATTTTAGCACAGAGCATCATGTCTTCTTCCTGGCATGTATTCCGTCCTTTGTTCCAACAACAAAATGTGAACCGCAATGCAAGTTCATTTGCGAACTTTTTCGTGAAACTCACTGCTTGCTCCCGGCATGCTTCCGACTCGCTAGAAAGGAGCCCCACGAGGTCAGGCACGCCCCCAGCCACGACCATCGCAGTGCAGTTCTCAGCATTGTTGCAAGCAAGGTTGGCCAGCGCGCCAGCAGCCTGCTTCCTGCATGCCCCATTTGTCGATCTCAGCAAGGACACCAGTGCAGGGATCCCATCGTGCCTGATGATGGCCGGCAGGTTGGCATCCTTGCAGGACAGGTTGGCCAAGGCACGTGCCGCCTGCTCCTGCGCTACATGGGTGCCTGCTTGGACGAGTCGGACCAGTGGGGGTATCCCATGCACCCTTGCGATCAGCTCCTGCTCTGCCTCGCTGCAGGCAAGATTGGCAAGCGCCCGTGCAGCCTGCTCCCTGCTCTTGTCGTCCGATGAGCTGATGATCGAAATCAGCGGCATGATGGCGGCCCGCCGGGATTCGACCACCTCCCCCTCGGTGCTAGACGCCAGGTTAGCGAAGGTGCGTACCGCGTGGCTCCTCGCCTCGTGGTCGTCCCCGTTGAGGAGGCCCACCAGGCTGGGCACCCCCAGGCCCCTGACGACCGCCAACTGGTTGGCCGTGCTGTGGTGGGTGAGATTGGCCACGGCATGGGCCGCATTGCGCTTCACCTCCATGCTGCTGTCCGCCAGCAGGTGCAGCAACTGCTCCATCGCACCCCCCATGGACACCGCCACCTGGTTGGTGTGGTGTTCCTCTACGAGGTTGGCCAGCGCCCGGGCTGCCTGGCTGTTGCAGGCGGTGTTGGGGACGTGCAGCATGTCCACCAATGGGCGAACCACCCCCAGCTGTGCAACGCGGCACTGGAAGGCGGGCTCCTTGATCATCACCGAGGCCAGGGCGTGGGCTGCCTGGGCCCGCGTGCTAAAGTCAGAGCCGTCCAGGGCATCTGCCAGGCAGGAGAGCGCCTCCGTGTCGGCCCCAACTTGAGACTTGACCTGCAAAGGGAGACAATCCGAATCTCTGTTGTAGCTTTGGCTGCTTCGCTATTGTGGACAACATGCTCTGACATTTTGTGTGCAGCTGCGTGTGTGAAATCGCCTTGCTGAGACAAGGGCTGTGCTTGTCGCTATTTGGCAAATGCAATCAAAGGATTCCAGCCCAGTACCGAGATAGTTGTGCTACTGTTGCTGAAATGGGACAGTGCACTGCCTTTGCGCCTGTGCAGCATACACTTTTGGTTCAAACACTCCACTATTCATAATATCCATTCTTCATCATTCTCTACTGAGCACATTGCTGGTTCAAAGACAATTGCTTGCTTCTCTGCATTCTGAAAGCCAACTCTTGGTACTTTCAATGTCGCCCCAAAAGCGAGAAAGGAAACCCACCTGTGGAGACTGCCTTGCCAGGTTGCCGATTGCCCTGGCAGCCTGCCGGATGGCCTCCTGCCCTGGACACTGCAGCATCTCGATCAACAGCACGAGAATGTTGCACGACTGCATGATCATCGCTGGTCCCCGAATGGTGGCCAAGTCTGCAAGCACCGTAGCAGCATCCTCCCTCACAATCAGCTCATCTGCCTGCAGTAGCCTGCCCAGGGTGCGAATGCTCTGCCACTCTACTGAAACGTCGCATTTGCATGCCTCCAGGTGCGACAGCCGAGCCAACACATGAATCGTCGCCCGCTGCAGAGCTGGGTCACCATTCAGCAGCAGTCGGATCAGGGGATTGACGCCGATGCCCAGCACCATCTGCTGACTCTCCCAGTGGCCATCAACCATGTTTGCAAGGCAGCGCAGAGACGCGAGCTGCATCTCGGTGGAACCCGATGCAACAAAGTTGAGCAGCACCTCGATGCTGCCGGTGCTGCATATCAGGCCCCTCACCCACAGGTAGGGTGCCTCAGCTATGGTACTCAGAGTGTCGATGGCCCATCGCTCGTCGTCAGTGCCCCCTTCACTGAGAACCCGGACCAGTGAATCCACAGCCCCCTCGTGCAGTATGGCCAACACTACATCCTCCGCACCTGCCAGCTTCGAGAGTGTGTATCCCGCCCACCGCCGTGCCGACTTGTTCGTGCACCCCAGGATCGACACCAGTGGCTTGATGGCCCCCGCCTCGAATATTTTCCGCCTGTTCTCACACACGTCTGATATGTTTGCCAGCACACAGGCAGCCCCTTCCTGGATGGGCCCACTCGACCTCACCAACAAGGACACAAGCACAGGGATCAGCTGCCCCTCGCCAATGCGCCACTCGCCGGAGCTTTTCAGCTGGGAGAGCTGTGCCAAGACCCTTAAACTCTTCTCTCGGCAGCTGGCCGTCCCCACCAGCAGCACTTTCAGGAGACGTTTAATGAGGTCCTCCCTGACAGCGTCGGGAGTGGGGTCCTCCTTGCTGGTCAGATTCAGGATGGCCTCAAGCACCCAACCCTCACGCTCTGTCTGCCCAAGTTGGACCAACTCAACGAGGTCCGGAACACCATTCTTCTCCAGAATGATCTTCTGGCCCTCTGGAACTGCAGTTATGCATGCCAGCGCCCGCAGGGCTTCCCCTCTCAGTGCCTCGTCTTCCTCCTTCAATGCCCTCAGCAAGTGCTCCCCACCATATTCTGCCACGAGGGCTTGGAATGCAGCATCCGTGGCAGTCACGTTAGCAAGCGTGGCTGCCACCATGCACCGTGTTGCTACCCTTCCTTTTGGCAGCATTGCACTCAGGTCTGCCAGTCTCCCCTGCGATGCGACCTGCCGCTGCACAGCTGGGTTGTCTTTGGCCAAGGCAGCGAGCGCGGCTGCAGCTGCTTCCCTGCGCTTCTCCTTGGCGCTGTGCAGCATAGCCGCCAGGGCCTCCACTCCTCCAGCCTGGAGAACCTCTTCCTGTGCCTCGGGGGAGCCGACCACAAGGTAGGGGAGCGCACGGGCCGCCCACTTCCTGCACGATCTCGTGCCCATCGTGAGTTGCCTAGCTACCACGGACACTATGCCGTGCTCCATGAACAAGTCGTGCACAGTGGCCTCCCCTGTGTGCAGAAAAGCCACCAGGCATTGCAGCATCTCCTTCAGCGGCCTCGTCACCTTGACAACAAAACAGTGTGTTTGATTTTACCCAAACCGATGCATCTTCACAGGAAACATAAAATATGAGGGGAAGGATCGTGTTGCTGCCCATCAACACCACTGAGGTGAAAGTCACTGTTAAGCCCAACAAAGCTGAACACAGCCCAACACTTGAATCGACAATGTGTTCCAAGAATCTGGAGCAGAACAATCATGCAGACAAAGTGCCATTTTTGTCCTTCTGAAGATTGGGCAACAGTCTCTCGTTTCTGAAGAATGCAACTGAAGGATATCATGTTGGTTAAGATCCATGGCAAAGCATTCCGGCAAGTCTTTGACCAGATATTGGCATGGTTGGCATCCTGTTCAATCTTCACCTTGAGGTGCTCCATTAGCGCCGGCACTCCCCCGGCCTCCACAAACGCCATCTTGACATCCACCTGTGTGTCTCGCAGCAAACGTATCGCATGCCTCTGTTCCGACCTGTGCCCGCTCTGCAGTCCTCGTATCAGCTCTGAGGACACGCCCTTTGGTGGTATGATGCAAACGGGCCTTTGGTCAAAATAAAAGGCATCTGAGGGGAGCGAGAATCCCCTGCGGTGGAAGACAGGTATCGTCGGCGCATCGCCCGACCTCGTCTTCGATTTATTCGACAATTTGTCGTCAAATGAGTTGACCTCCAGCACCCCATCTGTGCTCTGGATCCCTTTCCCCTTCTCCTTCTTCCTGCTGTTAAATGAAACCCGCCTTCTGGCAGCATTCACCACCTTCCCAAACATTTTCCCTCCTGTGCCTTCCTTACGTCACAGCACCAATCCCTGTCAGATCCTCGTTCCTTCCTCAGCTCTTTGTATCTCCTCTCGTAGCCGGCCACCCCAGTCTGCACCGACCACCCACCAGCGATGACAGGTCAGTCATGGGCCAAACAGGAAAACACACAGCTGTCAATCTAGGCATGCCCATTGGTGTTCCATCTTGCATGGCCCTTTGGGCTCGGGGTACATCTCAGCTCGAGTGGACGTAACCGACAGGGAAAGCCCCTCATACCGGAATTCGAGCTGACACAATCCGTGTGGGCACTCCACGGAGTGGAGCTTCAAGCATTGCGCCACGAAGGGAACGAACAGCCGCGGACGGCTGTCTGAACGAAATGCAGCGGGTGCGGCCTAACTCGACGCACTCGTCCAAACGGCCTGGGTTTTCCAAAAATGGACCACGGAAGGCAACGCCGCACCAGCGCGCGTGAAACTGGCCCCAACAGCCACCACCCCTTCTCTCGGCCCAGTCGAGAGAAACAGGGCAGGGCGCTCCGGCAAGTGCTTTCCTGTGGCGTGCGCCAGCGCCGGCAGGAGGGATTCCCACCACAACTTTAATGCCCGCGGCAACGCCCCTAATCACAGAGGTTCCCCGCGTGTCAGCGCAAAATGCGCCCTTTCGCCAACAGGCCGTCCACGCAAGCGCCCCGTCCGTAACGACCGCCCGCGGCATGCCGCCCTTTCCCTTCACAATTCTCTGCACCGCTCCTCGCACCAGGTTCTTGCATCTGCGCTGCAGGTCGAGGACGCCAGCCCGTGCAGATTGTGCTCCGCGATCGCGGACAGCCAATCAAATCCTACGCGGAGGCGCCCGGAACCGTTCGAAGCGCAGGTCGGCAGCGGGGCCCCGCCGCAAAACACGACTGCGCCCCGCAGATTCGCATCCGGGATGGAGATGGGGCGACCTGCTTCCCAACCCCGGCGCCCCGCGTGCGCACGGCACAGCCCGCAGTTCAAATCTCGCACGGCACGGCATCCCCAATCCGCGCCTTCCGGCCAATTTCACCGTCGACGGCGCAGCGCCCTGGGATCCAATCCAGAAGGCGGGCCCGCAGCCGGCCATGTCTTGCCAGATCGTCTACGAACCCCGGGGCCTCAGGTGGAAAGATTCGCCAGATGCCCGGCAGCGGCAACAACACGCAGCCCCAGCGCCCGCGCCAGGGCTTGCTCCCGTTCCGTTCCCACCCGATCGCGCCACCTGCGCTGATCTTCACCCACAAACCCGACTCCTCCCCGGCTACTCCCGCCCCCCTGGCAGCCCCTGGCAGCCCCCCCGCGGCCAAATCTCCGCAGCGCTTCTTTCCCCGAGATGCCCACCCTCCGATGTGCCAAACGACAAACTCTCCATCTCCCAATTTCCCGGGTTTGATTCCCCGCTCCCCTCGCCATGCCCCACGTCGGCAGCGGGCGCGGCCGAGAAGCGGGCCTAAACCCATCCCAGCCTTCCCGGCGCGAGGAGGGCGCATGCTATCGCCTTCGCGGTGAACCCACATGCGCACCTCGAGATCCGCAATTCGCCGCTCCCCGCTCCCGCCGCGCGGCAGCCCAGCCGCCCCCACCCCCGCTCCGCGGCAATGCGCCGCTCCTCGCAAAAAAACGTGGAGCAGAAAGAACGAACGGCGGCGCCCGCGCGGAGCAGCGGCGCGCGGGTGCTGTCGGATATCCCCTCCGCGCCCCCGCAGCGTCTCTCCGCGAGTTTTTAGTAAGGAGCGGGCGTCTGGGGGCGGTGCCTTGGCACTGTGCCCCGATGGCCGACCGGGGTGGCTGTGGGGATGGGCAGGGCGCACCCCCCTGAGGCATACGTTAAATCCGACCCGACCTTTGCTATTAACACTGGCGGCGTCCACATAATGGCCCGATACGGTGGGGGCGTGTACGGTCGCCTGCCGGGCCCACGCGCAAACGCCTAAGTCGCTGGTGCCCAACGTCCAACGGCCACCTGGGGGAGCTCCCCGTGGGGCGGGGACCGCCGCCGCGCACCCCGGCCCCAGAAACGAGGCCCCAGAGGCCTCTGCCAACATGCTGCATTGCGCAAGATCGCCGCAAGCCGGCCGCCGACAAGCCCACGGACGGACAAACTGGCGCGAAGGGCATGCACAGAGGCCGGGCAGCCGCGGCATCAAACACGCCACTCCCCCGGGATGGCACTCCACCCCACCCGCTGATCAGCAGCCCCAAAGGCGGTGGTTCGCGGCGTTTGGCGCCGAAGATCGCCGGGTGGGGTGGGGTTTGGATTGGAGGGGTGAACAGACCGCGGATGGACTGCAGCCACCCCCCCCCCGACCGCCGACAAGGCGCCGGCTGAACAACCAGCGAAGGGTCATGCCCTGGGGCCGGTCAGCTGCGCTATAAACACGCCACTTCCCCCCCGTTTGGGGTCGAAGATCGCTAGGGGGGGCTGGGGGTTGGATCGGCATTCGCCACCGAATGGCCGGAAGGGTCGGCGACTCAATACAAACGACTACGGGTGTGACACAGGCAGCACGCCCTGCCCTGCATCACCCCACACCCCACACGGCTTGCTCGCCCGGGGCTCGCCCACCCCACTCCTCCGTCCCTTCCCCTTCCCCTCTTGGCTCGTCCCCCTGCATCCCCCATCCCTCCGCTCTCCCTCCCCCAACGCCCAATTTTTTCCCCAGCCCTTCGGTGTGCCGCACTACCCACCAGGGGCCTTAATTTGACCTGCAGCGCCGCCCCTAGGGGCACGTTTTGCCCCTCCCCCGGCTGGTGGTCCACGATCCCGCGGGCTGCACGGGGTGCACGAAGCGGCGTTTGCGGCACAGGGCCGGCATCACTGCCGAGCAGCGCGGTGCTCTTCGGCGTGTCGAGCGAGCACCGCCGGGGCAATTCGCTGCGGAGATCCTCGGGAGCCTGCCGGCTGGCAGATGGGGATCCGTGCGATGCGGGGCTGGGCGGTGGCGGTCGCATGCATCCAGTGCCGAGCGTCCTGGCCAGCCAGACCTTGGGTTGGCGGGCAGGAGCGCGGGTCAGGGCCCCTTGGGTGGCCCGGCGTGTGGGATGGAGCATAGGCCCGTGGCTGGGAGCCGATCAGGCGGTCGACCGCTCTGCAGCAGCCGCGGAGCGCGTCCTCTCCCTTTTTATTCCCTTGGCAGATTAGTGCGTCTTTCGATTTTGCAGGTGGGGGCGGTGGGTGGGAGTGTGGGCTGGGGAAGTGGGGAGGAGAGATGGAAATGTGTTGTAAAGGGATCCCTGGAGGGGTGGAGGTCGCCGTGCGCATGGGTCAATCGACGTCCGAGGAAGCCGTTGGCTGGTCGCCGGGAGCGCCGGCGCGGCTCCTGGTGATCGAGCTTGCCCGGCTGTGAAGGCCCAATTGCCCGCCTTGCGCGCATGGGCTTTACGGTAGATTGCTCGCGTCCGCCATGGGGTCCTTGGGGGGCCTCGGCGCCGTTGGTTGTTCCCTGCCGCCGCCGTCGGAGACGCAATGGGGCGTTCTGTGCGAGTGATGCCCGGGCCGACCCCACGCCCCCCAGTGCCAGCCCCACGTCCCCCAGTTTGCCGCTCGACGTTGGGCGCCCAACGACTTCAAAAGTTTGCGCGTGGGCCTGGCAGGCGACCGTACATGCGCCCACCGTATCGGGCCATTATGCGGGCGCCGCCACTGTTAATAGCAAAGGTCGGGTCGGATTTAACGTATGCCCCCCCCTGATGCCGCTCGAGCGGATCGGCGGACCTTGGGCCAAGGGCCCTCACATCATCCTGGTGTGATGCGCCGATGTACTGCAGGCTCGTGTTTGGAGGCGTGGGTGTGATCCCCATACAAGAGTCACCCCATAGAATCACCACATGTGTAGTACATTGGTGTTATGTACTGAATCGCGAATCACCTCCAGACTCGCCAGGGGCCCGGTGACAACTGGCGAAAGTGCCCGGGCCCAGGGATACTTCTCCGCCAGGCCCCGGCGTCCCCGGGGCACGGCCCCGGGCAGTGCCCCTGGCGTTCTCCCTGGGCGGCGCGTAGCGCCGCGCGAAAATTTCGGTCCGAATGCCCCAAGCGCGTCCATTTTCGCTGTGGAAAAACACGAATCTCAGCTGATCGCAGGCGCCACTGGGCTGGCAAACTGGCTGCCCGCCATCAACGCCCGCCCATGGACCGTGGTCACGGTGTCGCTGATGGCGTGCAGGCATTGCTTCGCGTGTCCAGTACAAGGCCGAAAGTCACTGGCGAGTTTTGTTTGGAGCGAGGGCCAGCAATTTGGCGTCAGTGCTCAATCTCCCGTTGCCCGCCGATGATGGGCAGCCATCCTGATGCACCCAGAATGGCCCCCCCCGGTCCTCGATCACAGACTCAAGAATAGGTTCCAGCGCCGTTTATGGTGGGCAAACGGCTGCGCCGTGCGGGGTGCGATGCTTGGAAGTCATTGTCAATCTCCGCCCGGCGAAGGGCAGCAAATTGGTGTCGATTGAAACCTGGCTGGATTGTTGTGTAGTTCTGCTGCTAGCGTGTTGGAACGTGTTTTTGCACTCCAAGCTTCGCAGACAGTTCAGATCCACTGGGCGTGTCCGTTGTCGGCTCGCCTTTGTTGCTGATCGTTGCGGCTGGAGGAATGGGTGGCCCCATTGGCGATCGACCATATGCCAGATCGCGTTTCCACCTGCTCGGCGTGTAGGCAACCGTCCTTCCCTGTCTGTGACACTTGCGCAAAAAAGCGTCCGGTGGGCGACACCGCTCGGCTGCACACCCAATGCAGCCGGCCATATGGCAGCCTGCCGTATGGCAGCCTGCCATATCGCCAAGGAGCACCCAAGAATGGCCCCATCGCCTTGAAGTCATTAACCCAGATGTGTGCGTTGCGCGGCTGCCAACTACCAATTGTTCTGGCAAGGCTGGCACAACTGCTGTCATGGAAACAGCGACGCAAAAAGCGCGGACAATGGCGCTACTCCGAGCAGAAGCAGTCACCACGCGTCAGCGCTCCCGCTTCAACTCCTTCCTCGTCGTCAAC